TTTCATCCTACTTCTTCTTCTTCTTCTTCTTCTTCTTCATCCTCATCCTCAGAAGAAGAAGAAGAGGATGAGGATGAAGAAGAAGAAGTAGGATGAAAATAAGAAGAATTCCAAGCCGGCAAAAAGTGTATCTGCAGAGCTCCTCTACGTGTATCTGCAGAATAGAGGAGCTCTGCAGATACACTTTTTGCCGGCTTGGAATTCTTCTTATTTTCATCCTACTTCTTCTTCTTCTTCCTCTTCATCCTCATCCTCAGAAGAAGAAGAGGATGAGGATGAAGAAGAAGAAGAAGAAGTAGGATGAAAATAAGAAGAATTCCAAGCCGGCAAAAAGTGTATCTGCAGAGCTCCGCTAAGTGTATCTGCAGAGCTCCGCTATTTCTGACTTCACTCCATACAGCGGTTGAAACATTGTATCTATTTGTTTCCTTCTCCTTCTCCTTCTTCTCATCCTTCTCCTTCTTCTCATCCTTCTCCTTCTCCTTCTTCTCATCCTTCTCCTTCTTCTTCTCATCCTTATCCTTCTCCTTCTTCTCATCCTTCTCCTCATCCTTCTCCTTCTCATCCTTCTCCTTCTCATCCTTCTTCTCATTCTCTTCTCTTCTCATCCTTCTTCTCATCCTCATCCTCTCCTTCTCATCCTTCTTCTCATCCTTCTCATCTTCTCCTCATCCTTCTCCTTCTTCTCATCCTTCTCCTTCTCATCCTTCTCCTTCTCATCCTTCTCTCATCCTTCTCCTCTCATCCTTCTCCTTCTCCTTCTCATCCTCTCATCCTTCTCCTTCTTCTCATCCTTCTCCTTCTTCTCCTTCTCCTTCTTCTCATCCTTCTTCTTCTTCTTTCTCTTCTTCTCCTTCTCTTCTTCCTTCTCATCCTTCTCCCTTCTCCTTGTCCTTCCTCATCTCCAAGGGCATTTAAATTAAAGGTACAGTGTTCTGCACTAATTTAAAGGCTCTCTGAAGCCTAGAAACCCTTTTAATAAGTTAAATTCGTAGCGAATTAATTCGCATCGAATCGAATTTCTTCCTCAAATTCGGCGAATCAGCCGAATCGAATATTTGAATAATTCGCTCATCTCTATTTGCAACCTTACAAGATCGATTTCTGTACAACCAGCCTGCCCATAGATAGATCGAAATTTAGCCAGGTCCTTCTGAACCGGCCAAATTTCAAATCCATCTAAGGTCAGCTTAAGAAATTTTCAACTTAGTGTACACAGGCTTCAAAATTCAAATTCAAAATGTAAAAAATGCATTCCATATCCGATAAATACGCTTCAAAATTCTTGTCAGAAGTGGGATATCAAGGCTTTCATACACTAGTCCATACACAGCTGTAAAATGTATTGATTTTTTGAAATGTATTTTTTTTTTTTATGATTTGGACAGTGGTGGGAAAAAAATAAAAATCACCTCTCAGATTTTTCTGCCTTTTCTTCATTTTCAATTTAGTAAAAAGGCCTTTTTCCAGGACAGGAAGTAGGGGAAATCTCCCCAACAGCAACACAAGTTAACCACTTCCCGTCCGGACCATTCATATAAATGGCCGGATAGGAGCATTGCAGGAACGGGTGGCTGTTTATCCGTCCCTGGGAGCGCGCGGCACCGTGATTAGGTGCCTGCTGTGTCCGGAGGACACAGCGGAACACCGATCGCTGTACGGGACCTCTGTGTGAGGTCCCGATCATGTGATCACTGATTGGCAAATCAGTGATCACATGAATAGTAGTAAGCAAGATGTCACTTCTGATATCATTGCTTACTACTAGTGAAATCTGTAAATGATCACAGAGGTCAGATGGTACAAGGCTAAACATAACAGCCTTGTACCATGTGACAAGCTGTGACCAATCACAGCTCACACAGTATTTCTCAATGGCTGCAAGAATGCAGCCAGAGAGGAGAAATTATTGATTTTACAGCCTCTATGAGTGTAAAAACAATAAGTGTAAAAGAAAGGAAAAAAAAATCTTCATCACCCCCCACAAGTAGTACAGTGTCACTGTGGTGGCACTGTACTGTAGGGTGACAGTATGTTAAAAAAAAACATACATAACAATATAAAAAAATTTAAATGTAAAAATTTTTTTTTTTAAATTATAATTTTGGTTATAAACTAATTTGGGTTTTTTTTTTTACTAAAAAGATAGCTGAATACAGTTTGGTCAAGATTTATGAAGAAAGATTATTTGCAAAATTTAATAAGAAAAACACTTTTTTTTTCAAAATGTTTGGACTTTTTCATTTATATAGCAAAAAAATAAAAAATCCCAGTGGTGAATAAATACCACCAAAATAAAGTTTTATCGGTCTCAAAAAATGCTAAAAAATTCATATGGGTACAGTGTTGCATGACCGCGCAATTGTCATTCAAAGTGTGACAGCGCTGAAAGCTTAAAATTGGCCTGAACAGGAAGGGGGTGAAAGTGTCCGGACTTGAAGTGGTTAAAAATAAAAAAAGGTTTTAAATATAAGTAGAGAAAGGCTAGAAACTGTCAGATTTTCATCATCTATTTCCCTGTTGCAGATTTTTCCTCACTTGCTGACTGGTAAACTGTTGTATCCAGAGCAAGGGGAGGTCTTTTTAACAGAGCTCCAGATAGCAGTAAAACCTAAGATGGTTACATAGTAAGTCTAGTCCTTCCTGATCCCCTGAGAGGCAATCGGATATTCCCTGGATCAACTTTACCTATAAATGTTAGTATCCAGTTATATTCTGTGTATCTAAGAAACAATCCAGGACCTTTTGTAACGCAATCCACTGAGCTGGCCAGAACTCTTGAGGGAGTCTATTCCACATTTTCACAGCTCTTACTGTGAAGAAACCTTTCCGTGTTTGGAGATTACATTGCTTTTCCTCCAGACGTACTGTAGAGTGCCCCCTTGTCCTCTGTGATGACCTCAGGCTGAATAACTCTACACTGAGTTCACTATATGAACCACTGATGTATTTATACATGTTGATCATATCCCCCCTTAATCTCCTCTTCTCAAGAGAGAATAATTCAGTTCCTCTAATCTTTCCTCATAGCTGAGCTCCTCCATGCCTCTTATCAGTTTGGTTGACCTTCTCTGCACTTTCTCCAGTTCCCCAATGTTCTTTCTGTAAAATGGTGCACAAAACTGAACTGCATATTCCAGATGAGGGATAACTACTGATTTGTACCGGGGTTATATGATATCTCTCTCTCTGGAGTCTATACCTTTTTTAACCACCTCCCGTCCGCCATACAGTAATATGACGGACCCAAGGTGGTTCTCTCATTCTGTGAGGACGTCATATGACGTCCTCCCCATTTTCACCACGCATGCGCGGCTCAGGGAGTGCGCAGCGCGGCGATCCGCGATGTGCTGTGTCCCTCGGACGCAGCGGATCACTGATCACGGAAAGAGCCGAAGATGTCGGCTTGGTCATGTGATCAGCTGTGTCCAATCACAGCTGATCACATGTAAACAGGGAAATGCCGGTTATCGGCATTTCTCTCCTCTCGAGCTGTCACGCTGACAGCTCGAGGAGAGCAGGTAATCGGCTTTCCGCGGAGGGGACATGTACACTGATCATCAGGGCACTGATGATCAGTGTGCCCTGATGATCAGTGTAGCCCCAGCAGCACCACCTGTCAGTGTCAATCAGTGCCTTGTGTCAGTGCTCATCAGTGCCTTGCCAGTGCCCGTCAGTGCCACATCAGTGCCTACCAGTGCACATCAATGCCACATATCAGTGCCCATCTGAGCTGCCTCTCAGTGCCGCCTATCAGTGCCAGTCAGTGCCGCCTTTCAGTGCCCAGTGATGCCTGTCAATGCCCATCAGTGCCACCTAGCAATGCCTCATCAGTGCCAATCCGTGCCACCTATCAGTGTCCATCAGTGCAGCCTATCAGTTCCATCAGTGCAGCCTATCAGTTCCCATCAGTGCAGCCTCATTAGCGCATATCAGTGAAGGAGAAAAATCACTTATTTACAAAATTTGCAGTGGTTTTTGGTTTGTTTAAGAAAAAATAAAAAACCCAGGAGGTGATTAAATACCACCAAAATAAAGCTCTATCTGTCACAAAAAAATGATAAAAAATTTCATATGGATACAGTGTTGCATGCCAATTGTCAAAGTGCGACAGTGCTGAAAGCTGGAAATTGTCCTGCGCAGGAAGGGGGTATAAGTGCCCTGTAGGCTAGCGGTTAATAGAGAGGATTTTAGAAACTGCAGCTTGGCATTGCATGCCATTATTAAGCTTGTGATCTACCAGAACTCCCAGATCCTTCTCCACCATTGATTCTTCCAGTTGTACCCCCCCTAGTATGTATGATGCATGCATATTCTTAGCCCCCAAATGCATAACATTACATGCTTGGTGTCATCTGCAAAGACTGAAATGGGATTTATAATCCCAGACCCTATATCAATTTTAAATATATTAAAAAGTAAGGATCCCAACACTGAACCTTGGGGTACACCACTGACAACACTAGACCATTCAGAGTATGAATCATTAACTATTACTCTTTGAATACCATCTTTTAGCCAGTTTTCTATCCATTTACATACGGATTATTCCAAGCCTGTAGACTTTACCTTACACATTAGCCATGTGTGGGGAACTGTGTCAAACGCTTTTGCAAAATCCAAGCACACCACATCTACCGTCACCCCTCTGTCCAAGCATACCGTTCACGCCACCCCTTCAAGCATACCACGTTCCACCGCCACCCAAGGTCCTCCTGTCCAAGGTTTTGCTCACCCCCTCATAAAAAGAAATCAGATTTTGATGGGTTCTAACCTTCCCCCAGTCCATCCGCCCTGCATACAAAAAGACAAAGTGTTCACGTTTCGAAACTGTATATTAATCACTGGAGCTTCCTTTTAAATTTGGTCACACCACTTTTTGTAGTCAAATCTATGGAGATAGTCTATTGCAAAGATATACTCCTATTTACTTCATCCGGCTACACCTTAGGTCTTGTTGAATCCCCATCTCAACCTTTTCTCCCAAGAAAAATGCTTACCTGTGGGACGCCTGTGAAATCCGAACTGAGTGGCCCATCTGAGAAAGGGGTACCATTTAATGCAATCTGAAAGAAAGATAAAAATTAACTTTAATACTAACAAATCCAAATAGACCAGCAAATCAGCAGCAATTCCAGAAATAAATACATCTATTCATTTGTTTTAAACTATGTAGAGAAGTCATTTAATTATAGAGATGATAAATGCAGATTTGCCTTTAGCTCTTCTTGTCCTAGGCTATAGAGTCAAGCAAGAAACTGCTTTTCATATGTGTTCTTGTACCATTTCATACACTTCACCAACAAGGATGAGTTTTGGCATTCACGGATCCTGGTTCGAAGCCACCAGGAAGTGGTCACAATATTGAACTAATCAACTGCGACCGAGGCATTCACTGCCCCAACTGCATGTATACACACACTACGCGCAGCTGCGGAGAAGGAAATGACTAGACTGCAGATGACTGGATCTCTATTGGTGACCAATTCTCGGCAGGCTTGCTCACATGGGTTCAGACTCTACCCCAAACATTCCCAAGCTTCCACCTACTTAACAAAAAATAAGTCTGGCTTTATTTACATAACCCTTGGCATTACAATAGCAATTAAAAAGCAATGTCCACAAAATTCAACACATAGCAGTTTTCTTGACATCACTGTCTGGTCCATGCATCGTTTGAGTGCAAATTGTATTCTGGAGCAATTCTTCTCAGACTGCTTGGACAGAATTTACTTCTAGGGCTGAAACAACTAATCAACATAATCGATTATGAAAAAAGTTGGCAATGATTTTCAGAATCTATTAGCTGGTCAGCCAATTCGTTGGGCTGCTAACAAAATGCATTATTTGTTTACATATCAGAAAATACATTGACGCATATACAGCTCAGTACACCATCTGAGCTGTGGGGGGGTGAATCTCCCTCTCAGAATACAAAGACACAGTGAGGAGGGATCGCTGCACTAACATCTCTTAGTTAGTACAGCAATCTCTCAGTTATTTTTACATTCAGTCCGCTGGGTCCAATGTGTGTACCACGCTTAAGTGACAACAGGCGCAGGTAGCTTATATCAAGCCACCTACCTATGACAAAGGATGTCATGCGTAATATTATATTACAATCATGTCTGCAAATCTGCAAAACAGCATTTTAAGTCTTCCTAATCACTTCAGCTCTGGAAGATTTTACCCCCTTTATGACCAGGCCATTTTTTGCTATGTTGCAATGCACTACTTTACTAGTAATTGTGCAATCATGCCACAATGTACCCAAACAAAATTAACTTTTTTTCCCCACACAAACAGAGCTTTCTTTTGGTTGTATTTGATCACCATTGGGTTTCTTTAAAAAAAATTTTTGCAATATAAACAAAAACAAGACACGTTTTGAAAAAGTTTATTGACTATAAAATTTACTTAAAAAAAAAAGTTCTTCATAAAATTTTGGCCAAAAAGTATGCTACTATACAGTGAAGGAAATAAGTATTTGATCCCCTGCTGATTTTGAATGTTTGCCCACTCACAAAGAAATGATCAGTCTAAAAATCGAATGGTAGGTGTATTGTAACACTGAGAGACAGAATAGAAACAAAAAAATCAAAAGAAATGCATGTCTAACAAATTATACACTAATTTGCATGTTCATGAGGGAAATAAGTGTTTGATCCCCTATCATTCAGCAGGATTTCTGGCTACCAGGTGTCTTTCACACAGGTGACAGGCTGAGATTAGAAGCAGTCTCTAATCTCATTTTGTTACCTGTATACAAGACACCTGTCCACAGGAGCAATCAAACAATCAGATTCCAAACTCTCCACCATGGCAATGACCAAAGAGCTGACCAAGGATGTCAGGGACAAGATTGTAGACCTACACAAGGCTGAACTGGGCTACAAAACTATCACCAGGCAGCTTGGTGAGAAGGTTACAAAAGTTGGTGCAATCATTCACAAATGGAAGAAACACAAACAACAACTGTCAGTCTCCCTAGGTCTGGTGCACCATGCAAGATCTCACCTCGTGATCTTGAAGACATTACAGGGTTTAATAGACAGTACAAACAGGTAGAACAGTGCTTCAGAAAGCATTGGCCCATTTTATGTAAAGACCCCACACTGAAAGCCATACTTCCCACGAGACCATCATTTGTCTACAGAAGAGCCCCTGCCCTGAGAACTAAACTGGTACACAATATTCCCAATCCCCCTAAGAAACTATCTTTTTTTCCAACTAGGAGGGTTTTATAGGTGTGGGAAGTGTGGCCTATGTAGGTCAACTTCACACATGCTTAAGAAAGTTACCACTTTTATGTCCCACCAAACTTACAAACAGTATACCACTAAACCTTTCATTACCTACAATCTAAATAGGTTACTTATAAGCTGATGGATACCAGTATATAGGAAGAACAACCCGAAAAAATCACTAAGAGAATTAGCGAACATATACCCAATATTAAAAAAGGATACCCCCCAACACAGTGTATCCAACCATTTTAGAGTGGCACATAACAAGGACCCTTCCTACCTTTCCTTCTTTGCTATAGACAAAATAGATAAACACTGGAGAGGCTCACATATGATCAGAGAAATTTAAAAAAATGAAACCCAGTGGATTTACGAACATCAAACTTTATCACCAGCAGGGTTAAATGTAGAAATAGACCTGAAATGTTTTTTAACCAAATTTGTAGGGACCTACACTAGTAGCCCCATTTATGAGGTAAAGAAATGGGTGCCTTTTGCATTATATTTAGAGTTCCCCTTTAAGGCCATTACTGTAAGGGGGGAGGGGTTTGGTCTAGTATCAAATCCCAAGAGTACTTATTAGTAACTCTAAAACCAGGCAATGGGACTATTTAGTTTAGTTTCATCCATTGTATAGTCGGAGTTCCCCTTAAAGGGGATTTAGAGTCGATCTTGAACTGCATACTATATCTATATATAGATAGGTACCCATATTTCATAGATTGGGTACCCCCATTTCAGGAACATGGTTCTTACTCTGGGTTAATCAATCTGAGTGGACTGTCCTCTATTAGATTTGTGATTATATTAGACAGTTCCACTAAGCTTGGGAGAGCACATTCCCCCTTTAAAAAGTTATTTTAGCACATAGATTGTTATCGATTACCCCCCTTTTTTATAGACCGTATCTAGAGTACAGCTTACAGTATGTAACATCCCTTATCCTGGGATAACTGGTCTGAGTGGCTTGTACCCTTTAAGACCAATTTTGATTTAAATCAGGCAGTTTAGTAAAGCTTGGGAGAGTATATTCCCCTTTAATTAGCTTTTCCAACATAGAGATTGACACAGAACAGTTTTTAAACTGTATGTAGAATACAGCTCAAAGTATGCAAAAAGTATGTTGGTTTACATCTTTTTAATATTCTGTTAAAAGATTTAGGCATTATTGGTAAACAGGGTTTTTCCCCCTTTAAGAACCCCATCGCTGTATTTTATGCACTAAATTTACTTTATGATTTAATTTTAAGTTTTGTTTACTAGCCCAAGCATATCCAGCATATGTACACTGTATTCAGCAATGTTGCAGGTAATTATGGATAGATTCGGGCAAGTAATAAGTGACACAGCTGCAGCAAGTGATTTAATCACTGCTGTGTATAAATACCATCTCCAAAATGGCAGATCTTGTACTTCCTGATGACGATCCATTGATGGAAACCAGTTCGAGATTTGAAGACGCAACTTCTGCTAATGTAATTTCTGCCCTTTGGAACGCATGCTGGAATACTGCGGCCATCTTGGTTCCTATTCACAGGCAGCAAGGCTGAATACACTGAATGCCAGGTTATGGGCACTTTGCTTGTGCGTTTTATTCTTATAATTTCTGCTCATCAATAAAGTTTTTTATGGTTTTACACTATGGGATGTTTGCTTTTGTTTCTGTTCACATGCTGAAACTTGGTTTACTGCCTGGGAGGAGAGGAGAAAGTTTAAAAAGGCTCTTTTGACACTACACTGTCATTTATATCCATGATGGTCACCATCCTATTGGTTACGATCAGCCAGATCGCATGATTCCCAGGAATGAACATTGGTGCCATTCTTCCCATCACGCATTGGGCTAGTCCCAAACCAGGTGCTTAAGACCAACCTAGAGATAGGTGGTCCACGGCTAACGATGAGTGCACATCCATGTGGGGCAACGATTGAGCACAGAGGAGCACATGTCATTTCTTGTACGAAGTTCACCAATTAGTATTCAACACTTGGGCACTTTATTTTTCCGAATTGGGACTGAATGTTACAATTATTCACTTTGTATATGTGAAGCATTATTACTCATGTATTGTCAAATTTAATGCACTTAGCTTATGCGCAGTCCACATGGTATTTTGTTTGTTTTTGGTTCACAAATCAGGACTGCAGCGTATACTTATCAAAGTTGCATGAATATCTATTCCTAAGCGCAACAGCACTATATTTTAAATAATGCACTCAACCGCCATGGCCTGTATGCATGCTCATCATGAAAGACTTCACTGCTGAAGAAAAAGCATGATGACGCTCATTTAAAATAATGCACAACATTTAGACAAGCCTGAGATATACTGGGGAGAATATAGTCTGGTCAGATGAGACCAAAATGGAACTCTTTGGATGCCATAATACACACCATGTTTGGATGTCAAATGGTACTGCACATCACCCCATAAACACCAGTGAAGTTTGGAGGTGGAACATCATGTTGTGAGGCCATTTTTCAGCAGGAAAGATGAATGGAAAAATGTCAACGTCTCTCTCTCTCTCTCTCTCTCTCTCTCTATATATATATATATATATATATATATATATATATATACTGTATATATATTTCTTACATATCTTTGGTAGAAAAAAAAATCCCAATAAGTGTAAATAATTAGGTGTAATTTAATTGGTTTGCATGAAAGTTATAGTGTCTACAAAATTACAATATATTACAGGGGTGTGGAAATTTTTTTAAAAACAAACTTGTCCAAGAACTAATTTACAATCTACTTGTCATGATGAAATTTTTTTTTAACCAAAAGCGTATTTAAATAAGGTCCTAATTGTTATAA